GGGCGAGCGGGGCGGGAGGGCGGGGCGCCTGGCTCACTGCGCCTCCTTCCAGAGCCACGAGAGCAGCCTGTGCCCCGCGTGCCCGGTGTCCTGCCCCAACAACTGCTCGCAGTCTATTCCCAGATCTGAGGTAACTGCAAACAACCCCCTCCGTAGTGTCTGTGGGTGCAGGCCCGCCGCTCGGGGCGCGGGTGCCGCGGAACCCCGCAGGGGGCGGGGTCCGCAGCGGGGCCCGATCCTGGGTGCGGGGCCTCGGGGTCTCCCCAGCCCCCGGCCTGCTGCGCCACGGGCGGCGGGAGGCGCGCTGAGGCCTCTCCGCCTGCAGGTGCAGCAGCACCTGGCCGAGTGTCCGCACGCGGAGCAGGACTGCCCTTTCAGGCCCTATGGCTGCGCCGTGAAGGTAGGGAGCCGCCGTCCGTGTCCGCCTGGGCGCGCCCTCACGCGGGCGCCTCGCCGTGCCGACTGCCCTGGGCATCGGCAGCCACTTGTCTCGGATTCCTGAGAAACAGAGCCAACAGGAGCTCGACCCACCTATCACCACCTGCCCACCTGCCCACCCTCGGTCTCCTCTCCAGAGTCTGCCCCTCCCCGCTCAGCGCCCCCCTCCCTTGGCTGGGGCAGGGCGCCTGGAACCCCCTTTTCCTGGCGACCCCTGTTACAGAGCTAGTGCAGCGAATCCAGAACTGCCTTCGCTCCTGGGGAAAGCAAGTGTTCGGTGTTTTGTGCATCCAGTGCGTGGACGCTCCGCTGGCCAGAAGTGCCCCTGGGGTTAGGGCTGGGCCCCCCTGCAGAGAGAAGCCCCCCCCCCCCACTGCCACTAAGGTCCAGAATACAAACTGGCACAACTTCGGGGCTTTACAGTTAGGTGGGCAGGGGCGTGAGACTTGGACTCGAGAGCTGACTCGGGTCTCCAAGTTTAAGAAACACCCACCTGGCGACCGGGAGAGCCCTGGAGCTGGGGGCGGGGGTTCCCCTTAGCTGCCACCTGCCCCGAGCCAGCCCGCGCCTTACTGTTCTCTCCGCACGGAAGGCCAAGCGGGCGAGCCTGCCGAAGCACGAGCACTCGGCCCTCCAGGACCACATGCGTCTGGTTTTGGAGCAGAACCAGCGGCTGGAAGAGCAGGTAACTCTCCGCTCAGCGCCAGGGGCGGGGCAGAATGACGGGGCCGTGCCCCTCTGGGTGGCCTTAAAGCCCCCGCTTTTTCTTTCTTTCCAAAAGATTGATTGATGGATGCACACAGAACCGGGGTGCAGGCCAGAGGGGCAGGGAGTGAGGGGACTCCCCAGAGACAGAGCGGGGAGCAGCACAGGCAGATGGACAAAGTCCACTGCGGAGGGGAGCAGCGGGGAGACAGGAGGGGTCGGCGGCGCCCTGGGGGTCCCCTGGGGCGGGGATCGAACCCGCGCTGAAGCGGCTGCAGGCAGCTGTAACCCTCTGCGCCACCAGGGGGCGCTCTAGCCCCCGGCCTCTAAGTGGACTGGAGGTTGGTGTTTCTCTGCCCAGCAGCCAGAGAGCCCCCACCCCGGGGTTACGCTATGGCACATTAGAATGGCAGAGCGCCCCGTCACCCGCAGGAGCGCCCAGGCTCCAAGACACCGCCGTGTGTGCGCACTGGTGGGGGGCAGGACTCAGTCCGGCCCGCAGCGCTGACTCCCGGCCGCCTGAGGTGTGGCCTGACCCTCTGGGGCATCTGTGCCTGTGGGACGCAGCTGGCCTCTGGTAGTTTTCCATCAAATCAGCATTTCAGAGGACTCTGCCAGACCAAGGGGTTTTTAAACCGTGCGAATTCCTGCCTGTGGGGAGCTCTGAGTCTGGGGCGCAGACCTCCGTCCTTGCCTTGAGCTGCGGCCGTAAAACCGCATGAACCCCGGGTAGGGAGCGGCCCTCAGCCAGCGCTGGGCATGACTAATCGTCGCGGAAGTCCGCCGTGCTGGCAGGAAGTCTCCGGCAGCAGCTCCACGCCCCGTTCATCTGCAGAGAGCTAGAGTTCACCTACCGCCGCAGACTCTTTGATCATGCCAGCTTTCCAGTTTCAGTGGGGGGCGGTCCAGGGCACACCTCGGCGAACATAGAAAACAGGATTCAGTGGTCTCTGGTAGAGAGCGTGCTGCCTGGGAAGTGTCCCCAGTGCCTACTGTATCAGCTGCCTCATTTACCTGTCTCTCCCTCCCTCCCTCCCCC